CCGTGGGCTCGTCCTCTGCTTTCTGAGTCACTGTCACTATTCCTGGAGGGAACAGAGAAAGCAAGCTAAATGCTCTCTTCTCCACCTCCACAGCAACAGTGCACACCAGGCGCCCAAGAATCCGCCACTGGTCAGTGCTCTTCTGGTTTCCTTCTGTCATCTGCATTGGCCTGGCCTCCAAAGGCAAAGGCAGTGCTAAACTCAAAGTCCAGCAAGAGCTGCTGCTTATCAGCTGGGCAAGGCAGACTACCAAACAAAAGGTGCTTAATGTGTGGAGGAGGAGGTGTCCCGGGAGCCACACCCGCATCTACTTCCTGTCCTAGATATTTGAAGAGTGGGTTGGTACAGTAGCCAGAGATAGCACGAATTAAAAGAAAAAAATGTCCTTCCTTCAGCAAACTGTTTCTACTCTGTTTCCAGGCATCAGAAAAGTAGACTGACTATTTTATGCTTCTCGAGTTTTCTGGCCTTCTATCAATCAAGATTAGGAAAAATAAGCCCAGCTGGGTCTACATTTATGAAGGTCAATTTGGACTAATGTGGAAACAGCTGCCAGGTGCATTTATGTGGAACGGAGGGCTATCTTCTGTGAGTTCAGCTGTTTGCTTTCTCTGGGAAATGGAACATCTCATCAGAAAAGATAAGACAGGCTTTGAGCTAGCTTTAGCACACCAGCCTTCATCTCTGAGATGCATCTGGACAGAACTCTTTCTGCCCATTTCTTAAGTCTTTTCTTCACCCCTCCACATACAAAGGATCCTTCAACAAGTAGTGTCTGCACACATCCGGGGAGATCTTAAGTACCTGCCACCCAAAGCCAAGAGCTGTTTTTAGTTTGGGCCATACTGAGTTGCAAAAGGAACAGAGTCACCCAGGGGAGATGGGGACCTGTGCTCAGATACATCAGTGTGAGGCACAAGACAGATTTCTCAGGCAGAGTTAGACAGCAAGAGGAACAGAAAGGAAAAGGAACAGAAAGGAAAAGCAACAGGAGGGGCCTCGAATTTAAGGATTAGCTGAGGTGGATCAGGGCCTAAGGCTCATTCTCAGATTTGGTTCCCACTTGGAGGGCCAACTTTGTTTCCAGGATTGTCCTTGTTTGAGGGTGTGGGGTCTCAGTTCTCATCATGGGGTAGCTGCTCCCACTCTGAAGAGGTGAGCTCATCGTGGGGCTGTCACCAAGGTTCTGCTTCCAGGATCCAAAGTGACTGGAGGTTTAAGAACTTCTAGGCATCCCTCTAGGAGGCTCTTGGAATGGATATTGTGGAAGAGGGCAACTGAGGGTAACAGGGAATTGGTTTCTCTTATCATGAAGCACTTAGTCTTGAAGGGCTGAGGTGGCTGGGGAAACTCAAGGCTAACAGCTAACACTCCTGGAGGTCAGAGGAGCAGGCATGTGACCCATAGTCTTAAAACTACATTCCTTGCTTCCCAGAACCCAGAGAACAGTGGGTACATAACTGCATTCTTGAAGCAGAGTGTGTACAAAATAGAACAAAACAACCCAGAATGTAGAAGCCATCATCACATGGAAGAATCAATAATTACAACAGAATTAGAACCCAAGGCCAGGTTGGGGGTGGGGAGCCACACACTACCTGATCTCCACCCACAGCTCTACTGCCACAGCCATGCTGTTTCTGGGCCAGGACCCCTCAAAGCTGAATATTTCTTGGCACAAGGACACCCTGGCATGTGTGCTGGGAGGAGCCACACTGGGGCAGGCAAGGCAGCCCCTCCTTGGGGGCCACTGAATGGTGACCTTGACAAGTGTGAAACCAGACTGGCTTTGAAAGGAGAGCTAGGATGCACAGCTAAGCCTAGAACACGGAGGAGGCCATTTAAAACCTTCTACTCCCTGCTGACACCTGGAGGTCGACACACTTGACAGCCACCTCTGGACACAGGCACAGCCCCCACACTTACACTCAAGGCATCTCATTTTGAACCCACTGCCTGGCACCCCCTCTCCACACACCCTTGACCTGTCCACGTACGCCGGCCCCAGAGGCTGATGGAGGAGTAACTGACAGACAGGCAACAGCTTACAGATGCAGAGAGAACCAGGCTTCTGTTCATTAACACAGAACCAAACACGATAAAAGGCTCTGGACCCCAGGAAACAAAGATGAGTTTGTGCTGTGGTGAGAGGAAGGATCCTTTGATTTAAAATTAAACAATCAGGCCAACCGGTTCACAAAGCAGCCACTCCTGTCGCGGACAGCTCTGCTTCTCAGCTCCATGTGGGCTCGTGGTTGAATGAAGAATACGTGTGGGTAAACGGGGAGAAAACAAAGGGGCAGAATGAATAGTCACCAGTCTGCACAGCCAGTACCTGGCAAGGTGTGAATCTGGACTCTGAGCAAACTCTGATGGAAGGTTGGCTCAAGGAAAGGCACATTCTTTAGCAAAAGGAGAGAGGGACTTTAGATACCTTCAGTTATGGAGCTATCAAGCAGGTTCACAAACTGACTTCCACAAAACTGCAGAATGGTTGGTTGCTTATGCTCAGATTCAGGGAAAAATACTGAGGACCTGATCAAAAGAGGCCCTGAAATCCCAGAGAAGGGCAGAGAGGGAGGCAGCGAAGAAAGAAAGGAATGAAAGAAATCCAAGACAGAAATACACACAAAGTCACTAAGCTGTCCTGGACAATACTGCCTAGTGCAGGAGATTGGTCTTGGTGAGTTGAATCAAATCATTAAAAAGAGATGCTGTTGACTATAATCCAGCTACTCCAGAGGCTGAGGCAGGACAATTACAAACTTGAGGCCAGCCTGGGCAACTTAGCTATACCCTGTTTCAAACTAAAAAATAAAATAAAATAAAAAGGGCTGGAGATGTAGCTTAGCACTCCCTGAGTTCAATCCCCAGTGCTAGAAAAAAAAAGTGGAGGAGGGCTCAGCCCTGACCCCAGCCTCACTGATCATTAATGCCATGAAGGAACCTTTTCCCATCAGAGAGATCTCTGAATGGGAGATGCCAAGACAGAAAGCTGATGTGGCTAAGAGAAAGTGTGTCCTCCCAGGAGAGGAAATAAGATGGTGGGAGCAGCACCCCATGGTGTACCACAGTGTTCTTTCCTGGGGTCAGCACCCTAGAGATGGCCCAAAGCCCTGAGGATAAGTGCAGATGCACAGTTATTAGCTAGAGGATTTCATCCAAGCAAGAATAACCCCACCGGTAGAACCAGCCTGGTTCTAACCTACAAGGCTGTTTGATGTAACAAAGGCACAAAGACAAGAGTCTTTTCGGCCATCTGTTCTATAGGCCTCAACTTGAGAGGCAACTGATGGCTAGGCCAGATTCAAGGTGTGTGTCTTCAAACTATGTATTCTTATTTGGAATAATGCAGCTCGTGTGACCATTACCAAGATCTAGATGGCAGACAGAGAGAAAGGCAGCACCTGCGTCTCCTGGTGGACCTGCCCCTGCTGTGTCTTCTGCAGACAGGTCCTGAGCATACGCAGCAGCAACTGAGCAGAGATAGTGCAGGGTCAGGCCAAGGGGCACAGACTGGGACCTGCTGTTTTCTATTGCACAGGGAAAATGATGTTGCTCCTGTCCCTCGTATCCTTAGTGCAGACCTTGGGTCCTTTATGGTGTTCCATAAAGACTGCAGGACACAGCCCCTTCAAGCTGAATGGAGGGGAACAGGGCACCCTAGCACCCATGATTCCCTGTGGTCTCTGACCTGCTTGATTCCCAGACTGGCGAGACCGGCAGTGTGGCTGCAGAGGGCACACCTTTTACACAGCATGATTCCACTTTCTGTTGCCAAGACAACATCACTGTGTTCAGCAAGATGGTCCAGGACAGCACAGTGTCTTCATTCGCTTCCATCTTTGGGCTTCCTCCACTCCCCCTCAGCTGCCTCCCCTTTCTCTGTGGTTTTAGTAAAACACTGTGAACTGGCAATCACAAAGGAAAAGGGGCCACTGAGGCCCAGCAGGAAGCTCATTCCATGATGCCCCACCTTCCCCAGGCATGGAGGGTGGCACCTGGCTAGCTGGGCAAACACAGCTCCCATGAGTTCAGGCCAGCTCAAGCCCATGAGGAAGGTGCCACCCCTTCCTGAGAGCCAGGACACAGGAGGGCTGATTGGGCGGGCTGGGGTGAGGGAGGGGAGGACAGGCAGCAGTGAGATCCCAGCTTCCCAAAGCAGGGAAACGCCTGTGCACCGTCCTGGAGCACACACAGTCTGTGCTCTGTCTGTGCAAGATGCCAGCTGCGTGGAGTGACAGAGAGCTGGAAGAGTCCAGGATCACTGTGCTGGCCTGGAGGTCTGGGGGGGGGGGGCTCTGGCTGCCTCCTTTCCTAAGGTTTTTGTTTGTTTGGGAGTTAAGATGGGTGAAGCAACACTGGGACCAAAAGGGGTACCAGCAGGAAGAAGGTACAGGGTTCCTGGCCAGCTTCGAGGCTACATTTGAAACCCGCCCAGGTCTGCTCACTGTCCTTGAACCCCAGGGTTCCCATCCATGGCCAGCAGCTGTCCTGGCCCCACGCTTCCTGCACACATGGCCTCTATGGCGAATCTCCTTAGACAAGACCGGGAGGGAGGTGCCATGTCGGGAAAGACGCCAGTGCCACCCTCCTCTCCGTCGCCTCCCTTTCCTTCTCTAGCAGGGAGGAAAATGTCCTCGGCCCCATTTCCGATCTCAGCGGGGTCGCGGGGCACGGGAGGCCACAGAGCGCCTGCGTCCACGCGGCCCTTTCCTCCACAGTCGCTATCCCGGGCCTGCCCGGGCCTGGAAACTGAGGCAGGGGAGCAAAACACGCCTGTTTCGCGGTGAGGACAGCCAAAGGTCTGAGCCTAGGGTAGCCCTGGGCCCGCGACCTCCTCGCCTCCTCCAACCCCAGCCTCCGCGACCCCTCCCTGCAGGCGCTCCTCCTCCTCGAGGCGCCCTCTTCCAGTCCAGGCACCTCCCCAGCCCGACAGGCACCCCTCCCCCAGCACTGCCTCTCCTCCGTGCCCCTTCTCCCTGTAGCCCCTCACTCACCCAGGCGCCCCGGGAGCTGCCGGCCGCGGGGCGCGGGGGCGGGGGCGGCGGACAGTGGCAGCAGCAGCAGCAGCAGCAGGAGCAGGAGTGGCGGGAGTGGTGGCCCCATCCCCGCGGCCCACCCGACGCTCAGTCCATGGCCGCGCGGGAGCGAGGACAGAGCGGGACTGAGCAGGCGGCGCCAGCTCCCGCGGCCGCGCCTCTCCGCGCTCCTGCGGCGGCGCCGGGCAGAGCTTCAGCACCGGACAGCGCCGAGGGCCCCGCCCACCAAGAGGACACGCCCTGCACACGCCCCCGGCCGCGCGCCCTTCCCAGGAGAGCCTCCTGAGACACGCCCCCGATACGCCCCACCCTCAAGACACGCCCACCTCAGGGGAGGGCCCAGCGGCGCCCGCCTTGTACCCTGCCCTTCTCCCTCACCCCTCCTCCAGTGGGCCTCCCGGGCTTCAGGGGCCCGGTTCATTGCCACACAGACTCGGTGGCCTAGGGGTGAAGTTAAACTGCTCCCCGGTGCTGGCTCCCCTGAAAAACCGAATTCCTACTTACTCGGTTTGAATCGAGTTGACCGCCCACGGGCCCAGCTGTACCTGTGCCTGGGGTTGCAAAGCAGTCAGGGCACTGGCCCAGACTGCACAGGAGGGAGAGCCTCATGCTGGGTTCCACGAGGGGCGGTGAGGTGGCATTTGGGGAGCGGGAAAAATGGCTGTGTGCTTTCTGTTGGGCCTGAGTGGATGTGGGGGGAAGGGTGTGTAGATGTGAGGGGTGTGTAAGTGGGTGGGGTTGAGTATGGATGTGAGGGATGTGAGTGTCGGTATCAGAGCATGTGTGTGCACTTCAGGGAGCCTGTTCCCTCCAACTCATGACCCCTTGGTCCCCAGCCTCCCCATCTGCTGGACATACCCTGCAGGTGCATCACTTTCTTGTCCCCCCCCCCCATGCCCCCTGCATCCTGGGCTGGGGCATAGGGTGGCCACTCACAGTCCAGCCAACTTGAGCATCAAAGTCGATGCTAGGCCTCACCTGGGTGCCCAGCCCAGAATGCTGTAGCTCTGTCTCCATTTTCTCCCTGCTGTGTTGTCTGAGTGATCGCGATAGATTGTTTCTCCTGTGCCTTGTTTCTTTTCATAGCTAGACTGTGGATCAACACACAGCTGGACTGTGGATAAGCGCTGTCACAGGGATAGATAAGACTCCTTGAGCAGAATGTAACTGAGTTGATTCACCTACAGACCTGCTACCCATGGCAGGTGCACACAGGCCACACCCCACCAGCTTATGGAGAGTGTGTCTGGGAAGCTGAGAAGACAGACAGAAGCCCTCTGAGGTCCTGTGAACCAGCTTGTAAACTTGGTGACCTGAAAGACGGGAAAAGCCAGAGACAGACTGGTAGAAGGCTCAGCTCTTTGTGAGCCACAATGACTAGAAGTCCATGAGTAGGGCTGAGCTGTGCCACTGGCTATCTTAGCACTGCCCCGGTACAGAGGAGGTCACTGCCAATGGCCACTTCCCACAGCAGCCAGGCCATTGGCACTGCAGTAACTCAGAGGCTACTGCCAGGGCATATAAGAGGACGCTGGGGGCTGGAGGAGCTTAACTCACCAGTCTGAGCCTACATCCTGGATGACTGTTTGCTTTGGGCTATGGTGTCCCTGGTTCCTTGTTTATTGTTGGACAGGCCCCAGGATGGAACTATTTGTCCTCTCTTTGTTTGAAGACTGCTTAAATTAAAAGTAGTTTCCTCAACAAGGTCCTGTTTCACCCAAGGGCCCTGACCTTGGGATTATGTGTTAAGGCAAAGTTAAAAGGAAAATATCCCAAGAATGGAGAAATGGAGAAACACAGAAGGAGGAATCACAAAGTTATCAGTAACAAAAGCAGGTGGCAGAGGGTATGGCCAGTGTCCCAACACTCCTGGCCTTAGCATTGCACACTCAGCTCTCTGACCTAGGCAGATCAACCCTGGTTCTGCAAAAATGACAGGAGAAACTAAAGGCAGAGAAATGCAGAGGAGTCTGAGGGAAGAAAACATTAGGAATAAAGGCAGGTTATAGGCTAGCTGGCCAGACCGGTGGTCACAGTGACCATGCAGGGTGTAAGATGCAGCTTTGTTGGCACACTCTTCACAGTTGCCTAATGTGCATGCAGCTTTCAAACATACTCTTATTCTCCCAGCCTTTAGATGGTGAGGGTCTATGTCTAGATGTCTCCCTCAAAGCCTGCATGCTCACCAGCTAGGCTGTGGGAAGTGCTTGGATCATGGAAGCTGATACTCCCAAGTGGATTACTCTTAGGAGCACAGGACTGGGAAAGGCCAGGTCCCTGTGGGGCATTCAGGGTGATAGGTGTCTCCACACTGTTTTGAAGTGGTTTCCAGACACATGAAGCTAAAAACAACAAAAGTATGGTCTATCTGGGACACCACCATTTATCTGAGAAAGAGGACTAGTAAGCCACAGATCCACTTACTTTTTAACACAATAAGCCATACACTTAGAAAACGAATTACCTATTTTGGAAATGAGCAAAAACATTTTCATTAAATATATCTTTTCTGAAAATCTAATTTTGGCACCATGTAAATATGATTATAGGTCTAAATATGAGTTTAAAAACCCCAACAAATTGATGCCAAAAGTAAAGAAATACCCGACCATGTACCCAGGTGGGGCAAAATAGCCACATGGAAAGGACTTTGTATTTCCCTGTGGGTTAGCCCAAGAGTGGAAGACAGCATGACCTTGAGCTGCTCAAGGGAACCATGGCATGATAGGCTGTCCTGTCAACACAGATTTCTGGCTGCCGAAGGACATCACCTGTGTCCTCTGAACCTGACAGCCTGGGATGAGCCTGGACTCATCATCCAGTGTTACGCATAACAAAAGCAACTAAGACTACAGTCCTTTCCAGGATCCTCTCCTGACAGTGCTGAGAAAGCTAAAGCCAGCTACTACTGGCCCATCTGGAGCCCATCTCCAGACCAGGAGTCCTTGGCAGATTGCAGGTCCACCACAGGAAACGGAAGGGCCAGGTTGTGAGGCCTTGTGCCACCTGTAGCCCAGCCCTGGTGTAACAAAGCACACCAGCGACACTGCTTCTGGAAGATGGTCATTATTTTGAATACTAATAAATAAAGGGGGAAACCCAGCATCTTTTCTCTTTTCCCAGACAGACCATACAGTGATCATCCAACAAATATCCCAGCTGCTGGCAGAGAAAGGATAGAACCCATCAGCAGCAGGAGTCACCACAGGGGGAAGCAGTCACAGAAGCAAGTGCAGTATGCTGCGGAAGGCAGGATAACCAAGAGGTACATGAAACAAGAAAGAGACTTCTAGGAAGACAGAGGGATCCAAAAGAGACACAGGACATCAATGCAAAATCCTTACTGGGATCCCAATTTAAGGAGGTATGTAATAACCAATTTGAGATACAAAATATACAATCCTCATAACTGTCTTCTAATATAATTTTTTGAGATTGCTTCATAATTCTTTTTATTTTTAAATTTTACTTAGGATTACATCTCTCATGGAGAGCTGGCAGATACTTTTTTATCCCTTTCAACCCTCTCTCAACTCCCTCCACCTCTTGCTCCCCTTCCTTCATAACATGATAAACCTCACTTGCATAATTATTTGGATATAATAGTATTATGATTGTTTTTATGTGATATTTGGGATATGCTTCAAAGTCATCCAGGGGAGCCACGCTGGGTCTGGGAGAAGTACATCAGAAAGCCAGTTCCCCCTTCCTGTGAGCTGACCAGCATGTGGGCTGAGAATCAAGAACTCTACCCCCCACCCCACCCCACCCCAGCCTCCCATATGCAACCAGCTGGTTCGGAGGACAGGCTGAACTGATAGCAACTGAGGTACAAAAACAACTAGATGCTTGTACTGTTTGATTGACTTTGCAGACCTATGGCTGGTAGTCTGAGCATCTATTAGGATAACAGTATGCAACAGAGAAAATATGGGGGATTTCCTTCTGTCTTGTTTTTGAAATCCTATTATTCTGTTTTGATTTTACTATGTCAGATGGAATGGACAACTATTGTGAAGATAACAAGACATGTTATGGTAGCCATTGTTGATTCCCTATTATCCTGCTTCAAAGTTCTGTACCACTTTCACTGCTTTGTGTTGGTTGGCTTTACTGTTTCGTTTGTTGGGTCTTATTCTCTTAAAAACTAAATAAAAGTCATCCAGGGTTGGGGAGGTGAAAAAGGGTAGGCATGAAACAGACATTGCCTTAGAAGGAAGGAGGGCGCAGACAGCAGGGCCTCAGGTCGCCAGGTCACAGGCACTGACACTTCCTCCCCTGCTCAGCATCTGGATGTCCTTCAGGTAGGGGTGGAGTACAGACTGACCAGTCAGAGGTGACAAATCCTGAGACACTGCCACGAAGGTTCCTGATGGAAAAACCTCCATTCAGCTGATACTTGCTCAGTAGCCAGACTGCCAGTCTCCCTTTCTATACCTGCTCTTAGGGTGACAAGAATGACTGGGGCCTTCAGCTGACATTGCCCCAACTCCTGGGGTCTCCAGGCAACAGACCAAGAGGGCTTCACATCAGGACTGAAGTGTTATCCCACAACAGAAACGGGACAGGCTTGGAGAAGATGAGAACTTAACAAAAATCTCCTGGGGTCCTCTGGGAGGCATGGGATCAGACCAGAAGGATCACAGCATCTATATTCTTCTGTAGGAGGCCAGACTTGCAAGGTATGATCATCACAGGCTCCAGGCTAGAAAGTACAAGGGTGCAGAGGTCACAATACACTTCAGCTCTGGTACTGCTGTCTACATCTAGAAGGCCTTTACATGCATGGCCTAAGCTGTCTTTGCTAAAATCGTAATTTCTCGTTGTTCCATAAGGGCTGTTTATGAGGATTTCTTAATGTCCAATTGACATCTAATGTGATTGTTGCTGCCTAATTTACTACTACAGCCAAGGTAACACAGTAGTTAGTAGCTGACATTTGGTTTTCCTTTTATGCCAATATTCAGATTGCTTGGGAGTCGTAATGATAAAAACAAATATATACACATACACCAGGATCATGGGAAAGCAAGGCAACAGAAGACCCTCAAGGTCCCCCAACTCTCCTAAGACAGATCACAGACACACAAATGGAAAGGAAAGCAAATACCAGGTAGCACAACTCTATGAAAAGGTTATATTAAGTGATGAAAAAAACTAAACCACCTAAAATAAAAGACCTAATCAAGAAATGGGCAAGTGAAATGACCAGACCTTTTT